TTAGTTCTTTATATATTCTAGATAGTAGACCTTTGAGGAACAGCTGGTAAAAATTTTTTCCCACATTGTAGGTTGTCTCTTAGCTCTCTTGGTGGTTTCTCTTGCAGTGCAGAAGCTTTTTTAATAAGATGAGATCCAAGGTGTTGACTCTTTGTGCTAGTTCCTGTGCTACAGAGGATTTGTTCATAAAGTCTTTTCCTATGCCAATGTCTTTGAGAGTTCTACCTAACTCATCTTCCAGCAAGTTTACTGTTTCAGTTTTAATATTTCAATCTTTAATCCACTTCAATTTTACTTTAGTGCATGGTGAAAGCTAAGGGTCTAGTTTTAATCTCTGGCAGTTTGAAATCCAGTTTTTCCAATTCAATTTATTGAAGAGTCTATCTTTCTTCCAGTGAGTATGGTTGGCTCCTTTGTCAAAGATGAGGTGGCTGAGTGTGCCTGAAGTTGTTTATGTATCTTCCAATCTATTCCACTGATCCTCAGGTCTGTTTCTCTGCCAGTACCAAGCTGTTTTTATCACAGTGGCTGTGATTTACTTTTAAATCTCCCTCCAGTTTCAGTAATGATGTTTTTAGTGCTTTTCATTTGCCCACTCTAGCTAGCCAGGAATAAAGAGCAATTTGCAAACACTGACTCAGACAAATTCTACAAAATTGTGTTAGCTCAGTCTGATTAGAAGCCATGTTATTCAGGGTCCCATCAAGGAACAGAGGGTCCAGTCTGATGGGGAAGTAAAGACTTTAGTACAGTGGTACTTTAGTTCATGAACACTTTTGTTTACAAACAGAAGCATTTGAAAAATTTTTGTTTGTTTGTTTTGAAAACACCGAATCAGGTGAAAAACATTACCATGGCCATCTTTTCCAAAACCATAGAACAAACTAAGTTCACTGTATTTACAAAAGTGTGGGTGAGCCTTGAGGAATGAATAAGAGACAGTGAGGCACCAAAGACCAGCAAGAGTAGGAAGATATCACCTATCCATGCTCAGAAATTGGAGGAAAAGCATGTATCCAGGACTGTGGCTATGTGTCAAAAGGAGGCTGCCCTATAGAACCTGTGATCTTAGCTAGAAGTTCACAGCTGCCACTCAGCCATAGTTCAGCAAGAAGAAGCCAGGGCACATATATCTGACTTAACTCTCTTCCAATTCTCCAGAGTCCTGTTTGTGCCGGTCTCTGGTCAAGCCTAACCAGAACCAGAGGAAGAGGGTGATGCATCTTGAACAGGTCCCCTCCCTGACACAAGGCTGGGCAGAGAGGTGGAGAGTGGGCCTGCAGGCCCAACAGAATCACCAAGACAGAGACCTGACATCAAAGATAGCCTACAGAGCTCTCTGGGAGGAGCTTTAGAACTCTAGAAAAAGCCTCACTCCAGGTGTTCTACATCTCTCTTCTGATGGCCTCTGTATCAGCCACTCTCCCTTTGCTGAAACATAATACCCAACACCCTTCCCTTTGCTGAAACATAATACCTATCACCCTCAATCTAAGAAAGAAAGGTTTACTTTGTCTCATGGTTCCCGAGTATTCAGTCCATAGCTGACTGGCTCCAAGGCAGCAGTGACATAGTTCAAGAGCCTGGTGGGATACAAGTGTTCAGCCCACAGTGGCCAGGAAGCACAAAAAGTAGGGAGGGGCCAGGGACAAGGGGACATGAGAGGGTCAAATGAAACAATAAAGTACCTACATCTACGTACTTGTCTGACAAATGAGACTTAATAGTAGGCACTAGTATCCTATGCTGAGTCCTCCAGGTTGGAAACTTTTAAACTTAATATTTATCAAGTTTACTACATGCCCGTGAGTTGCACCTATACTAGGTGCTGAATTTAGACTCTTGATGATGTGTGTAGTGCTCAGTAAACTGTTGTGGGCTTTGGACTCCCCAACTCTAGAGTGTGTATACGATTAATAATTGTGGGCCTGGTGTACAACCCAGACAGAACTCCCATGAAGTCCCTCAAGAGGAGGGGCCCAAAGATTGTGTTATATGATGTCGCAGTGTGGTATCCAGGCTCTGATCGCAGAACACGACAGACTGAGTGACTAATAAACGGAAATTTATCTCTCCCTGCTTTAAAGGTTAGAAGTTCGAGCCTAAGTGGCCTGCAGATTTAGTGTCTAATGAGGGCCTTCCTCTGGATTCACAAAGTTGCTTTCTCATGGTGGGAGAAGTGAGGGAGCTCTCTGGCTTCTTCATATCATCAATCCCATTCGCAAGGACTCCACCTTCCTGCTTACTCTTCTCCTGAAGGTCTCCGCTCCTAACACCGCTTCACTAGGGATTGGGATTTCAACACGGAAACACAGGGCGGGGGGCACAAACATTTAATCTGCTACAGATAACTAACAGCTGGACGATCGAGCCACACAACTGTAACCAAGAAAGAGAGTGTGTGGAATTAGGCCTGGCAATGTGCTTGGGAGGAAGGAGCCTATTGGCAGGGCGGTCAGGAAAGTCCGTGGTGGAGAAGTTCTAGGCAGAGGTCCTGTGCCCTGAGAGGAAGTCTCCTAGTAAGCCAGTCTCCACAGCTCCTACAGCTTTCACTCCCTCTGGTAGAGACTTCAGAGGTCTCTGAGGCAGCCCCATCACCATCCTAATGCCCAGGTCTTGTCTGAGGGAAGGAGTTTGCAGAGCCTCAGGTGAGTCCTGGCCACCAAATTAGCCTCTCACCTCGGCGCTGGCTCCATCTCAACTCTGCCCGACCTCACACCTGCACTCAAGCAACAGCCCTGTTTCTCCAAGCCTGAGTGAGAGGACTGTGGCTTCTCAGGGTAGCTCACAGCCATGTAAGCCTGGCCACTAAAAGGCTGAGTGATCTGTCTTTGCCACTGAAGACTTCAGATCGGGTTGGAGAGTGCATCCTGACTGCTTGTGTCTCCTCCCCAGGCACTTGATGCAGGACAAAGGAAGGCTTTCTTGTCAGCAGAATACTTGAATGAACCCTTCCGAGCCCAGAGAGCAATGAGTGTCGTCAGTATCATGACCTCTGTCATCGAGGGTAAGTGTGGCTTCCTGGAACATCTGTCCACACTGTGCTGCCATTTATCTAACCTTTGTTAAAGACCCCTTCTCTGTCCGGAAATCCCAACTCCTCCTTCTTATGCCCAAGACCCCAATCATCCCTCACCAATGTGTTTCTTTCATATGCATATTTCCTTCAAAAGCAGATGAATGCAGCATCCTAGCTTGTGTCTCTGTTCAAATTACCATCTGCTTCATATGTATTCACGGCACTGTATTTTAAAAAGTGATCTGGCAGTCACCAGAGAATTTCGGGTCACTTCTCAAACATGCAAGAAGCTTAACAGTCTTTAATTTTCTAGCATGGCAAAATTATCTTCAGGTTTTCCACCGCTACGACATTCACAGTTGCAACTTAATTTCTGTCTCAAGCTCCCATTATGCCAAACACTAAACAACAATTTAAGGAAACTAATCCGTCCACTTTACTATATCCTTGTGAGTTCTGGGCTCTGCTGGTCAAGGGGGAATCCACTTAGCCTCCTTCAGGATGGATCTAAGTCCTACAATTTATATGTAGCAAGGGGTGGAGGAAGAGCGAGTGTGGCACTCACGTCCCCCTATACAGCATGGCCATGTCCCCCTCACCTCAGGTAAAGCTGGTTCTAATTCAGTCTTTATTTGGCTTCTTGGTAAAGGTTAGTTAGTTATGGAAACAACTCAGTAAAATGCACTAAGCAGTAAATAAGAACCAGCTCAACATTGCTCCACACTTGAGGACCCAAAACAAAAACAGCCTGAGGCAATGAAATAGTATCAGACACTGAATTAACCTGAAGAAAGTCCTCAGATTGAGGACATGAAGAATTGAATTTCGGGGAGAAGGGACATCCTTAAGTTACATCACTTGTGTATCTGGGATTTATGTTCTAACAAATGTATACCCATTGCTACAGATTCTCCTTTTTCTTCCCTGACAATTATTTAATAATCGCTTTCCATCATAGTAGTATCTGTACTCCTAACATCTTTTGTGGCTATGTAGAATTCACCAGGCTTTGTGCCCCTTAAGTTTTTTAGCTAGGTGGCTTCCTTGGCTGTCTTTTGTTGTCACTGCTGTTTTGGGTTTTGTTTTTGTTTTTTTACTCTTAGTCATCAAACAGCAAATGTTCAGTACAAACAGCTTGCTTTTCTATGAATTCCTTGGAAGTGCTAAGTGTCCTCCCCACCACTCTTTCTATTTACTTTCCCCATTGCAAAGATCAGTGGAGCACCTGCTCTGTGCCTGCCATTATTCCAGGTGAGAACGCAGGTGAACGAGACAGAAGTTCCTCTGAAGTGGAGGCCCAGATGCCACACACAAGGAGATAGTCAGGTGGTAGTAAAAATAAGAGAAAAATGAAGTAGGCAAGGAAGTGAAGAGGGCTATTATAGATCAGGCGGTCATGGAAGGGCGTTCTCTCCCAGGAGACCCGAAGTCTGGATAAAGTAAGGGAATCAGCCATGGGAAAGAGTTCCATGGGCACAAACAACAACTTTGACATGCAGGAATGAGTCAGAAATGGACAAAATATGCATCTCCAGTGCATCCCGATGTCAGTAAGACCAAAGAAGGTCTTGGGGTGAAGGAGAGGCAACAGTTTGACACCTAAGAACACAGAGCTAAAGCTCAGCTGCCTGGATTTGCTTCCTGACTCTGCCACATGTGGTAAACAGTGTGACCTGAGAGCTCCATTGACTTCTCTATACCTCAGTGTTCTCCCCAGTAAAATAGTGAGCACACACTTACCTTCCTAGTGTTTGTGAATATTAAACAAGTTAGGTTAAGCACACAGTTCATACTCATAAGATGTGGCCACCATTACTGGGAGGTTGTAAACTCTATGAGGGCAGAGATAGATGTGTCTGCTTTGTTTACAGTGAGATCACCAGTACTCAGACAAGCAGTGTACAGCATATAGTAGACACCAGACAATTGTGGTTGAATTAATGGTGGATGAATATGGCGCAAAAAAGGTAATATCTGAGAGTGATGCTAATTTATATTGACCCGAACTGGTTGACAAAAGTAAAATAAGGACTAGTCAGTTATTCTTCTTAGGGTAGGACAGACCTTCCTCATGGGAGATGCTGTGAGAGTAGACTAGGAAAAGCAGGAGAAGCAAGAATTTTTTTAAGAAAATTTGGGCAAAGGCAACTGTAGGTGAAATCACAGTTTTGGAGCACAGGGCACATATTTTCTTTGTTTGGATGCTGTGTCCCTTAGAGCCCTGGGATGCATGAAATATGTTCCATGCTGTCAGAGTTATGATAGAATTTGAAAGACTGACTCTTTTGGAGTGATTGTGCCTGAGCATATTGGCTCGAGCCACTAGGAGCCGGACAATCCACACAGTTCAAGACATAGGAACCCTCTACACTTGCCATACAAGATGAGATTCGATGTTTGTCCAGCTCACTGCAGGCAACACAGCTGCCCTCATACTTGGCAGAGGACAAAGACAGAAGAGGCTATTAGTGAAGTGTGAGTGTCCCGAACGAGAAGTAAGTACAGCACGCTAAGAGGAATGGGCTAAGCTCCACCTGGGGTCAGGGACGTATCCCAGATGGAAGCCTCTGAAACAGAAATGGAAGAGCCTAATGTCACCGGAACATAGAGGAGAGATGAGAGGAGTTCAAAATAAGGATAGAGAGATGGACTGGGCCAGCTCCACAAGATCCCCTGGACCATATTAAAGATATTGGGCTTCATCCTACGAGTACTGAGATGCCACTGAAAGGGTTGGAGGCAGGGGAGCTACATTTGCATTTCATAAAGGTTACTCTGAATGCTTGTAGAGAACAGAATTAGGAGGGGAAGCATGTTGGCAGGGAAACAAATTAGCAGGAACCAGGAGAGAGATGGCAGTGCTTGAACTTTGGGATACTGGCAGCCAGAATGACAGAAAATGGAAGGGTTTCTGGTCTAAGGCACATAAGATCCAGGGACTGATGGTGCCCAGTTCTGGATAATCAATGAGAGGAATGCTGGTGTGAGGAATCGCAGAGGGAGCACTTTTGAGGAACAGGCATTCACTGGGGGAAGATGAAAAGGGCCAAAGATCAGGAGTTGATTCTGAGATGTGCTGGGTGTCAGATGTGCTTCCGGTTCTAGGACTTAAAGGAGGAGGATGGCCTAGAGATGCATATTTGATAGCAGTTTAAAGATAGATGGTAATTTTGAACAGTTGAAAGGGATAAGGTGACATAGAAGAGATCAAGTAAGAAAAGAAGTAGGCCCAGAACAGAGCTCTAAGAAACTACAATGTTTAATAGTTGAGCAGAAAAAATAGAGCCAATAGTGAAGTCTGAAAAGCAAGGTGTGGGGACAGAAGAGAACCCAGAAGAGTACAATGCAGAGCCAAGGATCTAAATTCCAAAAGAAAGCACAGAAAAGTCAACAGAGGCAATACTATAGAAAGGTCAGGTTAAGCCTGAGGAACATCCAGGGGCTTCAGTCACGTGGGTGTCTTTGGTGATCTGAGCCAAAGTGGAGTAGCAGAGTAGGAGGGGCCATATTGAAGGGGCCTGAAGAATGAACGAGAGGTGAGAAAATGGAGAACCATGTGCAGACATCTTTTCAAGAAGTTTATCTGGCTGGGGATTTAGCTCAGTGGTTCGGTAGCCTGCCTTGCAAGTGCAAGGACCCCAGTTCGATCCCCAAGAAGTTTGTCTGTAGAAGAGTAAGATGATACTAGGGAGTAGGCAGAGTTGAAGGGAGACTTTGGTTTTCACATTTTGGAGATTTCTTGTTTGTTTGCTTTGAGTAGAGTAGGAGGATCTGGTGAATAGGAGAGACTGAAGATTAAGGAAAAAGAGGGCATATTTAGCAGATTCCTGACATGGCAAGAAAAAATGCACAAGCATAGACCATCATCAAGAAGGATACCTCTTTCAATGTGACAAGAGGGAAGTTCTTTCTGAAGATCTGTGCAGGGAGGATCCATCATCACGTCTCAAGCTAGGACACTTGAGGTTCTTGTAGCCTCTGTTATCTCCCAGCCAATCAAGATCAGCTACGTTAATGTGGGTCACAAAGCTGAGCCTCTTTTCCCATCATGCCCTACAGACAGCCATGCCTGTGAGCTTCCTCCTTCTACACTGCTTCCTGTGCCTTTTTTAGTGCCAAAGTAGAATCAGGGCAGGACCACTTTTGTTCCAAAGAGAGACTACTGATTTTGTTCCCAGGATGTGCCAACTTCTCTAGAGGACGATGCTCTGCCAGTTTGAACATTTGTAATTTCAAAAATTCACAGCAGGCAATTAAAACAGCTTGCCAGTGAAAATATATAGTCTGATGTGTGGAAAAGAAATGGACTTGTGTGTGTGTGAAAAGATAAGGACATAAATAAAAATAGTACATAACAGAAACAGCATTTCCAGTCCTCAAAGAGAAGGCAATATCATTGAAAAAAGTAATGTTGATATAAATAATCAGATCTTGGGAAAAATGAACAGGCTCAATATCTTGCACTTTATCCAAAATAAACTACAGATGCACCAAAGTTTTAAATGAAATTTTAAAAAAGCTTGCAGTAAGGAAGATATCGTATACAAAGAATTAATGCAAGAAAACATGAAGCCAAATACTGACTACATAAAAAGTTCTTAACTGCTAATAAGGAAAAGATACCATTTGTAAAATTCAGGAGCACACAATTATTTGTATAAATTCTTTTCATTTTGAAAAAACATATTGTGAAAAATGTGAACATTAGAAATATGTGTGCAATGAGAACTATTTCCCTGCAGCTAAGGAACCTCTAAGACGGGTGTGGTAATGCATACCTGTAAGCCTAGAGCTTTGGGAGGCTGAGGCAGGAGGATCACAAGTTCAAGTGCAGCTTGGACAACAGCAATTTAGGGCAATTCTGTTTAAAAAAAAAAAAAAAGAGGCTTAGGATGTAGCTTGGTGCAAAAGCCTTGGGTTCAACCTCAAGTACTGCAAAAAAAATAAAAATAAAAATCCTACCTGCTCCTCAGCCACCCAGTACATTTTTTCCTCTTGTGTCCTCCAAGCAATAATCTATGCACATGTGAGCACACACATGTCACATACATAGAAATACATTTCTGTATATCACGGAGCAGCCTGCTTCCTCCTTTTTCATAATGTACTTAACTAATTCTTCCCTGTTTCTATTAGTCTATGTTTGCAGCACACAATGATTACATCCCCTGTGTGGAGTTGGTCCAGGTACACTGTGCATCTTAATTCTCGTTCAGCCCCTTTCCCTCCTCTCCTTCCCCTCTCCCTCTAGCTCTTGGTTCTCATTCCTTTTACAAAAGTTCAAAAGTTCTATCTCCCCTTTTCCTAGTAATCTATATTTTATATTCCTCTTTGTATTTTTGGTTTCTCATATAACAGAAGCCATGCAATATTTAAGCTTGCGTGTCTGACTCATTTCACCTCACATTATGATCTCAAGGTGCATAGGACTAATATCTGGAATACACAAAGAGCTCCAAAAAATTAGACCCCCCCAAAAAAAATAAAAGACCCAATAAAAAAAAATAGGCAATTGATATGAATGGACACATCTCAGAAGTACAAATGGCCAATAAATAGATGAAAAAATGTTTAATATCTCTGACCACTAGAGAAATGCAAATTAAAAGCAACACTCAGATTCCATTCTACTCCAGAAAAAAAAATGGTTCTCATCAAGAAACCAAATAATATCAAATGCTGGTGAGGCTATGTGGAAAAGGGAACCTTTCTACATTGTTGGTGGGAATACAAACTAGTACAACCACTGTGGAGAGTCCTCAAAAAACTGAAACTAGAAACTCTGTTTGATCCAGCTAGTCTCCTTCTAGGTATTTTCCCAAAAGAGTTAAAGACACCGTATTACAATTATTTCCTTTTATTATTACTCTAAACAGCGGACATCATACTTCTTTACCCACCTGGACAGGTTTATCTACATGGTGTGTGTCATGCAGGAAATTTACAGATAAACACAAAACTATGAAATTGCCCTCCATAGACTTAGAAATGTGGAGGCGGTATCTAGAGCAATGAGCCTAGTGTTCAAGGGGGAGATCAGACACTGGCTGGACTTTAATTAGGGTGAATTGGCCTGGAAATGGTTCTTTAAGACGTAGTGTTCAGTGAGGTTACCTAGAGAGAGGGAACAATGGAGAATAAGGAGCACATGCTTGAATTCTCCAATATTTAAAGTCTGGAGAGGAAGAGGGGGGAAGTGAACAGAAACTTAGAAGATGTATCCACTGAGAGAAATAGGAGAAGAATCAGATCAGGGCTTCAGAGTGTATAAATTATGTCAAATGCATTGAGAAGCACAGGAGGATGAGAGCTGGAGTTTAACAGTATGAATGTGAAGGGTTAACAGCCAGATTCCAGCGTCCCCAGAGAGGAGCGGAGAAAGTAGAAAACTCTTGCTATTAAAGTAGATGGGGTCCCGGGGGACCTTTTTCAAAGTTGAGACATAATTAAAGCAGATTTACAGAGACAATCCAGGATGGAGAGAAGGAAATAACACACAAATCAGAGAGAGGAGCAGCTCATCCTGGGTTTGGGGCTAAAGACAGGAAGTAAGTACGGTGGCCCTGAAGGGATGCCGGAAATGTAGTGGTCTGGAAGAAGAGGTTCTTTTGAGAGAGATTCTGTGTTCTGAGTGAAATCAGAGGGAGATCATCAGCAAAGAAGGAGGCATTGAAGCCTGGAAGAGAGGAGAAATTAAGGCAGTGGTCTGGAAGGCTGAAAGAGTGGACTGAAATACAGAAGCAAGGCATGATTGCGGGACTGGGACAGGCAAGAACTCAGGAACCTCTAGAGGGAGCAGTAAGCACGGTTGTGTGTTTTGGCCACCAAGGTGTGCAGGCTGCATAAAAGTGCAGAGCAATCTGTGAGTTGGGTTTATTCAGTCAGTGTTTTTCTAGGCAAGTACAGTGAGGGAGGAGAGGGAAAGGAAGTAACAGTGTCTGCCAAGAAGTGGGCAAAGGACAGGAGTGAAATCTACGCTGGTTATGTTGCGCGGTAAGGACAGATAAAAGCAGTAAAAATGTGTAAGGTCAGTGACTTCAACGTCTGCATGAGGGAGAGATTGGGTTGCAGTTGCAAGAATGATGGGGGGCTCAACAAGTAGGAAGGCAATCATCAGGGAAGTAGGAGGCTGAGGCTGAGATGTGGGAGGTGGTAGTCCCTAGTATGGGAGGGTCTGGGGCATGCCACAGTGGAAAAGAGGTCCCAGGTGATTCACGTGGCTGATGGCTGTCACTGCTCCCTCCTGTAATGCAGAACTCGAGGAGTCTGAACACAGGTGCCCAGTCTGCCTGACCAGTTTGGCTCAGAAGTATCTGATCTGGGAGTGCTGCCCCACATGGGTAAAGCTCAAGGCGGTTCTCTTCGAGCTGGTGACAGACCCCTTCGCAGAGCTCATCATCACCCTGTGCATCGTGGTCAACACAGTCTTCATGGCCATGGAGCACTCCTGTATGAGCCCCGCCTTCGAATCCATGCTGCAGATTGGCAACATCGTGAGTGCTGTGGCCAGGGCTTTGGGTGAACTGAGGAGCAGGCTGGTGGGTGTGCCGTTCTCATTAGCCGAGGACAGTGGCAGTGCAGGAGAGATGTCGACGCTGGGCTCAGGAAGTCAAATCTGGGGGATCTGGGCTGAGCTGGTTAGAATTGCTTTGGCGTAAATAAGCACAAGAAAGTGGACAGAGAGAGCCCTGGGCTAGGAGCTGCTAGTTCCCCTCTCTAGAACACAGGACAGCCACTTAAATTCTCTAGATCTCAGTGGGCTCTACTTTGAAACAAGGACAAATGTCATTTTCCCATCTAAAGACAAGCTAGGGACTTGTAAATTTTCTTCCAATTTAATTAATGTTTATGACTGTAGTTAACAGTGGCTGTGATTTCAGTGCTGCCCCTGAAGGACAGAAAGAGTGGAGGAGAAAAGGAAGGTGGAGGGAGGGAGCATAGAAATACGCTTGCTCTGGTAGCAAAAGATCACAGAGTCAGAGCTTTTCTCTTGCATCTGTTTAGACATGATGCCATTTTACATTTCCCTCCCTTGTTTTCAGTATTCTTTTCTTTTAACAAGATAAAATCCACACTAATTTCACTACCTGCTGAATGAAGTATCTGGCTCAGAGGAAGCACCTGCACCTTATTCCACCCACAGGAATAGTAACAATGGCTAACTTTACCTGGATACTTGCTCAAGGCCAGACATGGTCTCAGGTGCTTTTCCTGGTTATCTAACTCATTTTCCCAACAGCTCTCTATGACAGGGACTACCATTAACCCCTTTCACAGAGAAAAAGACAGGGACCTAGGAGGTTACATCATTTGTCCAAGATCACAGACATAAGTAGCAGCACCAGGATTTAGACCCAGTGCATTGCCTCCCAAGCCCACACCTCTTCATCCCAGGGCTGAACCACCTCACAGGCCCTGCTCTCATGTGTGTGTGTGTGTGTGTGTGTGTGTGTGTGTGGTTCACATGATGAGCAGAAGCTAGGAAGCATCAGGGTCCTGTTTCCAGATTCGCATTGGTGTCTACCCCTCTGAAGGTGGCCCACCAGATCTGCAAGGACCTACAGCTCCTCTGACCTCTCAGAGGCTGCAGCCCAGGGTAGAGCAGGCCCCAGAGGGAGTGAGACTCCTCTTTCCTGGAAGCCTGCCCTTTCCATTAGCCAGGCATGGGAAGGGGACACAGCAGGGTCCAGAACTCTTTGGAGTCAGTGTGCCTCGTGTCTCAGCGGCACCAAAGCTAAGAGCACACGTCCCACTAACTTGAGATGAAAAGAGAAACCAGGAGGTGGGCGTGCTTGTTTCCCAGAAAGTGGCATTAGGGCACACAAAGCCTTGGCAACCAAGCTGTGAGGCCTCACCCTTATCTTACATGGGAGAAGTGGAGGCAGGAGAGAGAAAAGGCCATTCCCCTTGTGCTGTGCACTTTCCATCACCTTCACATCACAAAAAGGAAAAAGAGCACACAACTAAAAGAGTGTAAGCACCTGCCCGAGGTTTACACGGCTTCTGTGAGCAGACCAGAGCTACCCACCTGCCTGCTGCACCATGCCGACAGAGGGCACTGGGTGGGGTCCTCTGAACCACACAGCCCCCGTCTTGTGGAAGTAGAAAGTCACCAACAACCTTGGCCGGTTTCCTTCGCTATGAGAGGGATATAGTCCCGGTTTCCCAGGCTCACCAGAGGCCTTGGTGAGAGTCCGAGGAGAAAGTGCCAGGCCCCAGGCATCTTGCTCTCTTCCTTGCTTGTCTCTTTTGCTGCTGGATTTCATACGACCTGAGCCTGATCCTGACCTTTCTTCGTGTCAGAATTCTATCCTATGAGAGACAAGTTTAAAGGCACTCAGATCGTATCAATTGCTCTTTACTAAGAACTGCACAACTATTGGTTCATCTTACACCCATTACACACGTGGGGACACCAAGGTATGAAAAGGATGCAATGCTTATCCAAGCGTACACAAGCTGGGCTGTGTTGAGATTTTCATCTGGGTCTCTGTTGTCCCACAGCCCATGCTTTTTAACCCTGAAACCAGGCTGACTTCTCCTCGGCATAATTACAGAATAGCAGTCATCCTAACGGTTGTCCTCTCACTACACTCCTACTGTCACCCCCCAATACGGCCAAGCCCGAAGCCCGAGCTTGGAGCACCACACCCACACACCATTCAGAAGCTCCTCTGTCCTTCGGCATTGACTGTTCCCCGCCTGAGCCTCAAGGGTCTGCGGACAATGCAGAGTGAAACAGAACACAATTAAAAAGAGCTGCTGTTTTGTAAACCAGATTTCTTCCTGCCGCTCCTTGCTCCTTTCCGTCATTGCCAGCTGGCCCCAGTGACCCCACTGTGATGAAAACTTATTTCTGCCCACAGGTCTTCACCATATTTTTTACTGCCGAAATGGTCTTCAAGATCATTGCCTTTGACCCCTACTATTACTTCCAGAAGAAGTGGAACATCTTCGACTCCATCATCGTCACTGTGAGCCTGCTGGAGCTGAGTGTGGTCAGGAAGGGAAGCTTGTCTGTGCTGCGGACCTTCCGCTTGGTAAGTTTTTCTCTCGGCCACCTGGGCGACTGTGCTTCAGATTCAAGAAAGCCGATTTCTAGGAACAGACACTGTCTTTCAGGGACTCCACCAGCCAGCTCCCCCATCCTCTCCTTCCCTGAGGCAAGGAAGGCAAGAGGCGGCTCCTGCCAGCCTGCAGGCTTGGGTCTCTGGGCCCTGCCATCCACTGGCTCAGACTGTGGATGTGCCAGCTCCTCTTTGGGCCTTGGTCCCTCATCTGTACAAGAGGAGACTTCCAAGCACTGTCCTGTTCTCCTATCAAATAACAATAAACCACAGCAGCTCATGTTTACTGAGTACTTAACATGTGTAAAGCCTGGTCCTACACCCTTGACATAACATACCTCATTGTATGCTCACAACTCACATCCAAGGGATGGTTTCTTTTCATATCCCCTGGGTAGATGAGAAAACCTGAGGCATAAGTTATTACATGATGACCCCAAAGTCTCCTGGCTTCCAAGAAAGCAAGTAAGCACCAGGCCTGGGTCTCAAATCCAAGCTACCTGACTCCTGAATTCTCTTCTTCCTACCTCAGAGTTGTTCGATCATTTCCTGGTGCCCCAAATCACAGTGCTATTTCCCACTCACCCTCAGAATTGCCTCCTATTAGCCTCCTGGGTAGGCTCACCTCCAAACTCAGCTCCAGGACACCCTCTTCAGGAGAAGCTCCCCCATTCAGGGCGCTCCTGCCCTATTGCCCCTCAGTGACACATTCCTAACGGGGCTGCATTTGTCAGCCAAATCTGTCAGATTCCCTGAAGCTGGGTCTGGGGTCACTGGAGTCTCCTGGGTCCCCAAAGCCACCTGGGAAAATGTTTGGCACATTGCTGACTCTAGGTAGTAGGAAAAAGACCCATTGAAAGGCACGGCTCTTGTTCTTGGTATTCTCTCAGTGCCAGGTTGGAGCCCAGTATCTATGGAGCAGGGTGGCAAAACAAAGGAGAGAGTCCCCCGCAAGTCCCCCCCTGTGTTGGGCATCCAGAGGCTGAAGAGGTCACATGACTAAGTGCAACCATGAGATTTAGGATGGAAAGTCTACCTAAGACCCTAGCATGGGGCCCAGGGAGACAGACCTGAGTCTTGGACTTGGTTTACCCAGGCTGACCAACTCCAATGCCTATAGGAAATGCAATACAGTGAGCCAAGAAAGAGGTGCTGGGCCAACATATTCACATCAGGTGAACAGGTAATTTATTCCTACTTTGGCAGAGCCAGCATAACACACAATTCCATGGAGGAGAACTTACCTAGAAATCATGCCAAAAAGTTGGCCTATCCATTATGGTCAGCTTCTGTTTTTATATGTGTGAGAAACAAGAAATCGGAATTTTATGTGAATCGGTTATTAATTCAATGTTTAAAAATAATCACACTCTACAGACCACATAAGGCATGTTCTGAGACCCCCCTTGTGTCATTCGCCACTGGCTGATGCCATCTGCGAAGCTGACTGTGCCCTGCCAACTCTGGGGAGAAGAAGAGCAGAGTGGCTGGCAAAACTCTTTCTCCATGACCTGGAAACCTTACAAGATCAGAGCTAAGCCTCACGCTTAGAGTGGCAGACTTCTCTAGCTGTCTAGAAGCGATGCCAAGAGACTGCGGCCTGAGCAACTAGTCCATGGGAGACACCCATGCATAGTCACCGAGAGAGCAAGAATCCCAGTCCCTGGGAGTACCCAAGATAGATTCCCAATGAAACACGAATATTTTGATATACTTAGGGAAGTAAAGTGTATACTCTGTCTAAAGTTGAAAGCCTCCAAAACTCTACTTCACAAGCTGTCTGTACAGAATTCTCCAGGAGAATGCCTCCTGCCTCCTGCTGGTCTTAAAGTGCTGATCGATTCACAATTCTCTGCCCAACCCGGCAATCACACATACAGTACTTTCTTATTGTCTGATCCACTTCCTTCAAGACCTGGCTTGCTTTCATAGCCCATCAACGTTATTATACCCCTTTGGAGCAAACCCAGTCAACTTTCCCCTCTGCCCTTAAGCAGAGCCGGGTTCTTGGCCAAACCTTACTCTGGAACCAAAGGCAGAGATGTCTCTGTACCATGTCTGCACCCAATCTGTGGACATTTCTAGAAAAAAAACATGCATCCTAGCTAGTTAGTTTCATTTAATTGGGATAGATTTTATTTTTCAGGCCAGCTTTAAATTTTCAGAAGGACTGAGCAGAGAGTACCAGAGCTCCCCTATACGGCCACTTCCCTACCTTCCCCCATTACAGATGTGGTACATTTGTTACAAATAACTCTTGAATCATTTCCCATTTCTCTGATAATAAAATCCAAAGTCTTCACAATAATGTACGAGTCCTTATGAGAGTGCATGATCGGACCCTGCCATCTCCAAGCAATCTCCTTTTGCATACTTTGCTCCTACCAAAGAGGCCTCTTTTCTAGTCTTCCCACAGCACAAAACCCTGTCCAGTTTTTGGCCTTCATGTATTTATTCCCTCTGCCTGGAATGCTTTGACTATAGATGTCTCTTAGTTCAGCCCTTCTGAGCTGGTGGTTCCAGTCACATGGCCCCTCTCTGCCGAGGACCTCCCCAACCCTACTCTCTAAAAGAGAGCACCTTGAAGGTTTATCTTAGAATCCTTTAATGTTTTTTAACACAAGCATATCATGTGCAAATAATGAATTTTGTTTCTTCCTTTATAATTCTTACACCATTTGATTCTCCTCACTACATCACTGGGCTGGCTAGGACATCCAGTACTCTGCAGAAAGTAAGTGTTAATAGCAGGCATTCTTGCTGTTCTCTTGATTGCAAAAAGAATGTTTTTAATATTTCACCAGGCCTGACATTTGTGGCAGGTTTTTAAACAACAACAAAGAAAACCTTATCGTTTAGGAAGTTCTCTCTTGTTAAGAATATTTATCGTGAATGGACATTTTTCAGACCATTGCTTGAGCCTATAATATAATCACATTGAGATTATCACATATTTTCTCCTTTGATCTGTTAAATTGGTGAATTATATGGATTGATTTTCTAGTGTTGAATCAATTCTGCATTCCTGGAACAAACACAGCTTGATCATAGTGCCTTTGTAAAAATGTATTTGGAAATTCAGTTTGCTAAATCATTTTTTAAGAACTTTGCAGCCATATTGATAAGTAATATTTGAGTAAGGATTTTTCTTACTTAATTATCTTTACAAGGTTTGGTGGGCAACATACCAAAGTTATACAAATCTCCATAAGCACAGCTGAGGAATATTTCTCTTTTTCTATACCTAATTTCTGAATAAGATTAGAATTATTTGTTCCTTGTATGTTTGGTAGCATTCACCAGGGAAGCCATCTGAGGGTCAAGATTTTCATTACTGATTTGGTTTTCTTAATAGCTATGAGACTAGTCAGATGTTCTGTTTCTCAAATTGGCTTTTCATATGTTATTTTTTCCAAGAATTTTCCTCCCTGCCTAAATTTTTTAGTTTGTTAGAATATTCCATGCATACTATGTTCTTATCTTTGAAGGAGGGACATCACCTGTACTTGTGCTACCTTTTTCATTAGGAATAATGATTTGTGATTTTTTTTTTATCATTTTTCATTAGTCTTGCCAAAGAGCATCTGTTAGGGAATTGATCACGTTTTTCCATTTGTACTCTCTAGCACAGTAAAGCTAAACAATTTTGTTTTTGTTCTCACCTATTTTATACTTTCTTAGCAACTCAAGTGGGGCGGGGGATAGCTAGACTTCCTCCAAAGGGGAAACACCAGAATTTGCCTGTATCAATGTCACATTTTTTGAGAGGCAAATTTTTTATGGGAAAAACAGCAGATTTGTCAAGCAATTGTTTTAAGACTAAAACTAAATAGTTCTCATTAGTAGCTGATTACCATGGAGCAGAAGTTTGAGCAGCTCCTAGAACACAAGGGGGCTCCACCTTATCAAAGTCTCAGGTAAGTAAAACAAAGGCTGATAACTTTTCCTTTGTCTGGAGTTGTCCTGTGGGCAAAGTTTGGCTTAGCTGAGACCATGATAACTCACAAAGTTTTTTTTTTAAAAAAAGCATCTTTGGTTGTAGTTTTATCTTATAGTCTCCCATAAAATTGTTATCAAAATTTTGAATTATGTATTTAAGAACAGTTGGTTTAGTATTAGCATTTCCCATGACCATTAGATATTCTCTTGTCCAGTGAAGTAAGACAAATAAAGGGTGGGGTGTCATTCCAGAAAACGGCCTTGTTTATTTACCGGGAGGGCTCTTTAAGTGTAAGGGATCAGTCCAGGTAAATGTGAAAATGTCTTGAGAATCTTTGTGTAAAGGGATACAAAAGAATGTATCTTTGAGGTCTAAAACAGAAAAATAAGTGGCATCGGATCAGATGGAAGACAGGAGGGTATATGGGTTTGGCACAATTGGGTGTATGGGAATAACAGCTGAATTAATAATTCTGAGATCCTGAACTAATCGATATGTTCCATTGGGTTTTTTTACTGCTAAAATGGGAGTGTTAAAGGGAGAGTTAGCATGTCTCAGGAGTCCCTTTTGTAAGAGATCATGTATTATGGGAGTTAACCCTTCTAAGCTAGAGCGAGGGAAGGGGTATTGTGTCAAACTTAGAAATTGTGAGGGATTTTTAAGGAGAATTCTGACAGGGGGACATTTGGCTATTGAGGGAGAGTGAATATCCCACACTTGAGGATTAACAAGAGAGGGGCTAATTGGCCAGTTGGATTGGGAAGATGGAGATTGGAGGGCTTGGGATAGTACCAGGCAAAAGGAAGCTGTCGGAGTGCTGGAAGGGCTCGGCATAGAGAAGTGAATAGAGGTTCTAATTTGGGATAAAATATCACGGCCCAATAAGGGGACCGGGCAGGATGGAAGGACTAAAAATGAGTGAAGAAATGTAAGATTGTCAATAGTGCATGATAGTAGGGGGGGTCTGGTGTGGGCGTTGTAGTTGTCCTTCTACCCCACCAATAGAAGTCTGAGAAAGGGAGGTAGGCCCCCA